TGGACTACAGATGTAACGGAGGAGATTGGGGTAAAGGTTAGGGAGATCAGATCGACCGACCACAATATTCCTTAGGGGGGCCGAATTCTTCCAAAAACTGAGCCTAAACGAATCGGCGCGCAGCCAATTTGACTGTGGATTTAGGAATAATGTTCCGTAAGAAAAAAGCGAACAAAATTTGGGCATGTAGTGGCGGTGGAGAAGAGGTAACGTGACTACTGTATGTTAATAATGAAAACGGCTGGTAACTTCTCTGGCTACCTGATCTTGTCGGGATGTACTTCAATTCATTACAACACCATGTGCTGTTAGAGCATTTTGCTATTGTCATTATGCAAAAAAAGTGTTTTCTGGTTTCAAGGAGATCATCTATCGCGGTCTCTACATTGCAACATTTTCTCAAAACTCGTCAGCGATGACTCAGTACAGTGGAGTGCACAACGTCACACATGCGATGTGTCAGGCCGATAAGGAATTGGCTAAAAACGAACCGCGTTGTGCTGGGAAGGTTTGTGAACCTGCTCTTTGCAAACAATGAATAACTACTGAATAAATTACAATATTGTAGCCATATTATGTGGTGGATGCAAATCCAGTGGACTCGTTTCTCTTCTGGCTTCCACTGATCAAAGCTCTTTCGAGGCCTGCACCTTCAATAAGGATCCCATTCAACCTGGTCTATTTTGCCGCTTTATTGTGCGAATGGTTGGCTGTGTGGTTCAGTATTCCACCCGTACTGAACAGGTATCTACTTAACTCATTTGAGGGTATTGTTTCCTGGTCTTTTGGAGTTATTTAGTTGCCTGAGGAAAATCTATAAGAATTTTGGGCGATATGATTTTCCTGCATCCGTTAATCCCCTTCTATTCGGCTTTCGCTGATTTGAGTTCCATTCAGAATCGTGCTGGTGTCTGAATGTGTCTCACAATGGCACGAGACAATGTGTAATTCAGTGCATACCTTCACCATGGTTAGGGATTCAAAACAATTTTTTCAACTTTGGAGGGATGGTTGACATCGGATCCGGTGCAAACCGGTCTGAGTTTTCATACCAAACTTAAAAGTGGTTGTATAATTTGACATTACCCCTTCGTCCATACGTGAGCAAGAGGATCAGTTGCTTAGTCACATGCTGGGAACACTTCTTTCACCCCATCTAAGTTCACAAAACGGAGAGGTGGGTGCTCGTGTCAGGTAGGGCACCCATGGTTACGGGTTCGAATCCCGGATCAAAATCTGCTTAGACCAGCCGAGCCTTTCATCGAATCTGAACGGAAGTCGAATGCGGGAGCGCATCTTTTCGACGGGACTAATGAGCACCCAAAGATTTTTCTTTTTTCTCCATGATCTCCATGTTCATAAATCATGTTTTTATTGCAGAATCTAGCCCATCATTTACAAAAATTGCAAAGAAATAGGTTCATTTCAGGTTAGAGGTGAATCTACTCGGCATAACCAACACCTATTCAATCGAAGGCGCAATGAAAGATTTCGACTATAAGCCGTCGAATAATCACGATTTAACTGAGGTATTAT